CCCCCCCCCCGGCACCTGGTGACCCCGGTGCAGGAACACCACTGGGTTTAGGCACTCGGTCCCTAAAAGGTTTGCCATCACTGACTTATAGCCCCTTTGGTGTTCACTCTTGTTTGTCCCAGTAAGCAATTATGTAGCTCTTTATTCTTCCCATTTTACATCTGGGACACAGTGGCCTTTTAAGTCAATGTATCACTCTTTATTGTGGCAGCCCTGATTTTGCTGCCTGGGGTGAAAGACAAGATGCTTTCGCCAACCAATTCCATCTATAAAAGCTGACAAGATGGGCTGCTTCAACAACACAAAACTACAGGAAAAGAGATTCCACCTCCTCTTCCTAGACTCACCTGCAGATTGTGATCATGGCCACATAAGTAGGCTGTGGCTTTGTATTTCAACAGCAGTGGCTGTAGTTGCTTGACCAAGCATGCCGTGGGGCCGTGCTTCCCCACAGACCACACTGGGTAGTGCCCAGCCACGATCAAGTAGTCATCCTGGGAGTTGGCCATCTGTTTGCGAAGCCAGGACAGCTGGCTACGGGCCATGTTTACATCCCGCGGACGCAAGGGCTGCTCGTTCTGGAAGTCGTCTGAATTGCCACAGATAGTCACAGTGTCTATCATGAGGATGGCGACAGAAGCATTGCTCCCGGGCACCTTGAATCTCAGCTTGTAGTAGTACTTGGGGAAATGCCTGGGAGAAAAAAGACAGGAGGAGGAACAGTCAGAGAAGGGAAGACTATTTAGTGGGATGTTCACTTTCTTTCTGAAGGAAAAGAGTGTCTCTAAAAATTGATGTGGATATAAGAGAGAGCCTTTTTGGTGGCTGTTCTCAAGACTGATTCCCTCCCATGGGAAACTAGATTGGTTGCCTCTCTGCATCATCATCATCATTATCATCATTGCACTGACAGTTGAAAACTTTTTGGCCTTTGAATGTTAAGTGCCAGTTGAAGAAGGTCTTTTGTTTGGAGTATGCGGCATTTGTACTTTTATCATTATTACTATACAGTCGGCCCTCTGTATCCATGGATTCTTTATCTTTATCCATGGATTCAACCATCCATAGCTTGAAAATATTTTTAAAATACATACATATCTGCTGGGGTTTGGTTCCAGAACCCCCCATAGATACCAAAATCTGTGGATGCTCAAGGCCCCCTAAATACAATGGCATAGTGAAATGGTGCACTTTATATGAAATAGCAAAATCAAGGTTTGGTTTTTGGAATTTGTATCTTTTTGGAATATTTTCAAGCTGTGGATGGTTGAATCCATGGATAAAGAATCCATGGATATGGAGGGTCAACTGCAAATTCCAAAAAGCAAACCTTGACTTTGCCATTTTATATAAGGGATACTATTTTACTACACCATTGTATTTAATGGGACTTGAGCATCCACAGATTTTGATATCCACAGGGGGTCCTGAAGCCAACCCTCAGTGGATACCAAGGGGCCACTGTATTTTAACTGCCTTTTAAAAACGTTTTGTAAATTAATGCTTTTAATGTGATTGCTTGTTCAGTTGTTTATTAACTTTGTACTATACATTGCTTTAACTGTATTTTGCTATAAATCAAACTTTGAGCCCCCTTGGGTCCTATATCGGAAGAAAGGTTTATATACATTTATAAAAAATAAAAATAAATAATAAAGGTTCACTTGGTTAATCTGTGGGGCAAATTGTAGGTCATTAAACCTTTTGAAATTCTTCCCATCTCTTACTAGATAAAACAACTTTTAGGAATGGGCAGTATGCAAAGCAATGAAACACAAGTCCCCCCATAACTTCTATACTCATACATAATAGATAATAATGGGGGCTGGTTTGTGGGTAGGCTTGTTTTTGTTTTGTTTTGGTTACTTGCTGTAGGGTGTTACTAAAATAAGGAATTAAAAATATTGACGATGTTTAATAACATCAAGTGTAGTATAGTGGCTAACACTGAAAAGCGCACAGTTCAAATTGTGCTTCAGCCACAAACACAGGTGTCCATGTACAAAGATAAAGACATTGCAAGAGATTTCCTTTCTCCCACAAACCCTTCTCTCTTCCCAAACATTTCTAAATCTACAGTTTGTCTTCTGCACTTTTGCAAACAACACCAAACCTATAAAAAAACCTGTCTCAGTTCTGGGAAAAGAGCAGGATACTTATTATTATTATTATTATTATTATTATTATTATTATTATTATTATTATTATTATTATTAGGCCTTACCAACGCTTAGAGATCTTGGTGTAAGCGATCTGGGCAGAGACATTCCCTGAATGGTCATGATTTCCAGCCACAACATACCAGGGCACCTTTCGCAGTGAGGGGGCCTGGAAAACTGACTCAAAGGTCTCCTGTCAAGGAAAAAAAATAAAGAGTATTTATCTATGGTCATGCCAAAGAAGGAAAGACTTCTGCAGAATAACACTTGGCAGGGATTTCAGTTCTTCCTTCCCTTATCTTAATGGGAGGCAATAACTTCCCTGGTAGCCCTGACCCATGAAGTGTGGTCTGCCCAGTTATTATAAGATCTTAACTTTGCAACCTTAAAAAAAAGTGTATGAACATGTTGCTTCCCTTCTTCACTCGCCATCGTATTCATTTAATTCAGATCCCATCTTTCTCACAATAAGGGACCCAAGGTAGCTTACAATGCAAGATAAATCAAAATACTGCTGAAACAATTTATCATACAGAATTTAAGAAGCCAATCCAACAGCAATTCTATTAAAAACATTAATTTTACAACAGTTTCGTTAAAAAATCAAAACTAATAACATGCCAACTTGTATGGATTGGCTTGAAAAAGTAATGGAAATAGCTCAACCAGATAAACATAACTAATTTGGTGAGAAGAAAACATACAGAGTTTTTTATATAAAATTGGAAACCATTTCTAGATTATGTTAAGCAACTAAAGGGAGATATCAGTGTTACTGGATTTGATAGCTAGGTAATTTGAACTTTTTTTTCTTCTATTCTTTTCTGTCTTTTCTTCTTGTGTGTATAGATGTGTGAAAGGAAGAAATGCGGATAGAAATAATGGTACATCATTAAGTTAGAAGAGAAAACTAGAAAATTAAAAAGTTAGGAATAATGTTATTATTTAGGAGCCTATTAGAAGATAAACAGGAAGACTTGTTTATTTGTTTGTTTTTAAGGAGGAAGAGTAGAAGGGGATGTCTTTTATGCATGTCTTATTGTTTGTTTTCGTTGTTTGTGTGTTTATGTTTTTGTAGTTGTTTAATTTTTGAAAAAAATGATAATCAATTTTTGCTCCCCAAAAACATAGTAATAAAGATACAGAGACAACGTGTGTGTGTGTGTGTTGTGTGCCTTCAAGTCATTCCTTACTTATGACCACCCTAAGGCGATGGGGTTTTCTTGCCAAGATTTTTTCAGAGGAGGTTTGCCATTGCCTTCCCCCAAGGCTGAGAGTGTGTGATTTGCCCAAGGTCACCCAGTGGGTTTCATGGCTGCGTAGGAATCGAACCCTGGTCTCTTGAGTCATAGTCCAATGCTCAAACCACTACACCACGCTAGCTCTCCATAGGCACAGCACACACATTAAAGATCCTTCAGCAATAGACAGTTAGTACCTCAGTAAACAGAAATGTCTTTGCCTGCTGTCAGAGAGAGAGAACAGAGAAGGGGCCAGTCTAGCTTCCTATGGGAGGGAATTCCACAATCTGGGAGCAGCCACTAAAAAGGTCCTCCTCTTCTTTGTCCTCACCAACCATGGCTGTGACAGTGGTGGGACCAGGAGATCATCCTCCTCTGAAGGTCTTCAAACGGTCATCAAAGGACACAATCTTTCAGACACTCTGGACCTAAGTCATATAGTGCTTTCATAGGTCATAGCCACTAGTTTGGACTGAGCTTGGAAACAGATCAGTAGCCAGTGGACCTGTGGCAAGATGGGAGTTGTCCCCTCTAATCAGCCCCAATTACTTTTTCTTTTGCATCTCATCTTTTAGATCCAAAGTTCTCAGAATTTCTATTCCTAGCATTCACTTGAGAGAAAATACCTGAGGTCCACCTGTCACACAATATCTATCACCAGACAGAGGCAGAGTTTGGCATAATGAGTTAGCAAGTGCTGATAGAATTTTTCTATTGATATCTAACCTCACTTTGAGAATAGCTGAAAACTTTACTAACACCATTTTCTGATGGCAAAGAGATCTCTACTTCAGCTTTCCTTAAATTAAGGAAAGATATTGGCTGTGGAAGTACCATGACTCGATCTCTCCATTTGAGGCAGAATTTCCTGATCTAAATGTAGAACATCGTTTTATATGTTTCCTACTGACATTTTGCTCTTAGTGTTTTTATTCATCATTTGTCATTTCTTCTCCTTTCACATTTAATGTATATTCTTCTGCTTTTGGATTCCCTTCCTCTTATAGCAGCTTTCCTCTTATTCCCTTCCTTTCTATTCCCAGTTGTTGCGGCCATCTTCCTCTCTGGATTCCTTCAAATTCCTCTCTGAATTCCTCCTGAACTTCTTACCTTCCTGAACTTCTTACCTTCCCCGTGCCCTAATTTTTTGTTTCCCTCCCACCCCACAGATATGTATACACACCCTAAATCCAACTTCTAGTTGCAACACAAGTAGACCCATTGGGGTTTATGTAAATGTTGACTTGCCATTCAGTAAATTAGGGTTGCCAGAAAGAAAACAAGAGGACTCCTGTATCCTTAATGGTTCTGCAGAAGAGGGAATTGCCGCAAGTGTTGCATGTCATACAACCAGGTATAGAAGTTTTATCTTCTATACAATCAGCTCTCTCCAGCTTTCACTCTGGCAATCCTATGACAATAGTTGATTCAAGGGGAGCAACAATGAATACGGTTTCCGCTGCTAGCACCCAGTGAGGAAGGTGTTGTTGGCCATTGGTGTAGCTAGAAGGCACACCAGCAGCCTTGGGTGCTTCCCAGTATCAGTATGTGCATCCTTTGCAGCACCCTTCTTCCCATTTTTCTTTTCATAAGGAAGTGTTGGAAGCTTCAAAAGGTAGTACAGTGGTCCCTTGGTATCCACTGGGGTTTGGTTGCAGGATGCCCCTCATCCCTTGCGGATATCAAAATCCATGGATGCTCAAGTCCTATTAAATACAATGGTATAGTAAAATAGTGTCCCTTATATAAATGGCAAAACCAAGGTTTCATTTTTAGAATTTATAGTTTAAAAAATATTTTCAGGCCATGGATAGTGGAACCCCTGGATAAAGAATCCCAGGATATGGAGGGCTGACTGTATGATGTATTTTAGGCCTTTTGATTGTCTCAGTAAAGGATGGATTTTGGATCTTGCTTTGTTTATTTGCTTGTTTTATGGCCAACACATTGCCCTACAACATTTCCTTTGCTTACTCTAAAGCAGTGATTCCCAAACTTTGGTCCTCTAGGTTTTTGGACTTCAACTCCCAGAAGCCCCAGCCAGCTTGGCCTATAATCAGGAATTCTGTGAGCTGAAGTCCAAAAATGTGGAGGACCAAAGTCTAGGAACTACCGTACTGCTCTAAAGCATGATTCCTCAGCCAGGGCTCCTTGGAAACCTAGGGATCTATGAAAGGTCCATAGGGATTCCATGAGAGACTGTCACTGAGGAGGAAAAGAACATTAAAATTTATTGTTGCTGCAGGAGAGATGAATGGGAGGGTGTTATTATGCTGTTTCCAGGCTCCCTAGAAGTATCTGGTTGGCCATATGGGAAGAGAATGATGGAGGGCATGGACCACTGCTTTCATCCAGTAGGGCTCTTATTTGGATAGGGAAAAGTGTAGTAGGGGAAAAAATGTTTTGAGGAAGACCAGCCAATATTACCAGATATATTCAGAATAGTCATTTTTATGGAAGGGTTATCTGAGACCTGGAAATTACAGTATTTTAAATTATTTAAATTATTGAAAGGGTTCCTCCAGGTTAAAAAGGTTGAGGAACACTACTTTAGAGTCTGAATTTACCATAGATAGTACACTGTGTTGAAGCCAACCAGCAACTATGTGTGAACTTCAGCTGCCCTTAATTCTGTCTCCCATGCATGGAAATCAGTACAGTCAGCTCTCTGTATCCATGGATTTATTTTATCCAAAGACCCAAGCATCCACGGCTTGCAAATATTTTAAAAATATAAAAATTCCAAACAGCAAACTTTAACTTTACCATTTTATATAGGGGACGCCATTTTACTACACCATTGTATTTAATGGGACTTGAGCACCCACAGATGTTGCTATCCATGGAGGGTGCTGGAACCAAACCCCAGTAGATACTGGGTCCACTGTATGCAAGTTATTCAGTCATTCCTTTCACCGCAGCCACCCTCAGGTCCCTCTACCTGAAAACGCTTGTCGTAGACATCATTGACGCCGCTGTAGTAGAAGTTGTCTCCTAGGGAGAGAATGAAATCAGCTCCCAATGATGTGACCGTACGGCCCATCTCCTTGGCCACAGCCGCCTCCCGGGGCGTGTAGAAAGGAGCATTGGGGACCCCACCCCAGTCTCCCACAGCAATGAACCGCAAGGAGGAAGACACGGCATGAAGGCTTGGCGGGGCAGCCAGGAAAAGCCCCATGAGGAACAGGAGGCTCAGCATCTGGAAGGGAAAAGGTGAAACCAAGAGATTATCATGGAGGAAAAAGCTGTCAAGTGGCTGCTAGCTGTTACGGCTGTCTACTTCCACCAGTCCGGTGGGCCCTTGGTATCCGCTGCGGTTTGGTTCCAGGACCCCTCATGGATACCAAAATCTGTGGATGCTCAAGTCCCATTAAATACAGTGGTGTAGTGAAATGGTGTCCCATATATAAAATAGCAGGATCAAGGTTTCCTTTTTGGAATTTGTATCATTTTGGAATATTTTCAAGCCATGGATGGTTGAATCCCTGGATAAAGTATGTATGGATATAGAGGGCCGACTGTACTAGAGGCAATACACAAGTTGCTGCAGGAGAGATGAATGGAAGGGTGTTATTATGCTGTTTCCAGGCTCCCTAGAAGCATCTGGTTGGCCATATGGGAAGAGAATGATGGAGGGCATGGACCACTGCTTTCATCCAGTAGGATTCTTATTTGGATAGGGAAAAGTGTAGTAGGGGAAAAAATGTTTTGAGGAAGACCAGCCAATTTTACCAGATATATTCAGAATAGTCCAACTGACAGTAACTCTGTTATGGGGTTTTCTGGGGTTGAGACTCTGTGACCTGCCCAAGGTCACCCATTGGGTTTTCATGGCTGAGCAAGAAATTGAACTTTGATCTCCAGAGTCCTAGCTGAATGCCTGAAGCACTATACCACACTGGCTCTCCACTCAGCATTGCTTTTCTTTAAATTATGTTTGAAAGTCCTCTGATTAAGTGCGATAAAGTATTTGCTGATTATCTCTCAGCCCTCTTTCAGCATCTTTCTAATGCTGATGCTGCTATAAAAACAAAAACCTTCCAGCTAGACCAGACAAAAGGAGGAAAAAAGGGACTGGGGAGGCATACAAAAAGCTTTGTTGGCCCCAAACCATTTGGGACTTTGTAGGCCACACCTCATGATAG